ATGATGTGAAGGCATTCATCTTGTACCATTGATGCTGAGGGTGCAGCTCAGTTGATATGGTATCTCTAGCATACACACAAGTAGTTACAGGAGGCAGGAGGATAGTCAAAAGCTTGAGTATAACCTGACATGTTAACCCAATCCCAATTTAACCCATTAACACATGCTAACCCATTGTGACTGGTTATCAGGGAAAATGATCCCAGGAAGCATAAAAGCAAAGACACCATTCAGAATCCTTTGAAAGTCTATCTTCCACACATATGGTATGTACTCATTTATAAGTGGATACTAGCTATAAAATACAAGTACCATATTAAACTCCACAAACCCAAAAAGGCTAAACAAGAAGGGATGCCTAAGCTAGGAAGCTTGCATCTCACTAAGAGGGGAGAATAAAATAGTCATAAGAGACAGATGGAGGGAGTGGAGATGGTGAGAGGAATGCAGGTTCAGGACAGGAAGAAAGGCAAGATGGCCATGAAAAATGAATGGAAATATGCAAGTGACTGAAGGGAGAAGGTAGGCAGAGGAGTTCTCCAGGATGACACAGAGACCTGCAATAAAGAAGGTGCACAAGAATCAATCATCTGTGACCTTAGCTGTGACTCACTAAACTGGGGATATGGAACCAGAAGAGGCCACTTACTGTAGCCAGACAAGAACCCCAGTGAAGTAGACACCAACCCACTTACAAAATGTATCCTGTCTACAAGAAATGCAAGGACAGGGGATAGAGCAGAGACTGAGGGAATAGCCAACAAATAAATGGCCCAAATTGAGACCCATCCCAAGACCAAGCACTAATCCTTAACACTATTAATGGTACTCTATTATGATTGAAGACAGGACCGAGTTGTCCTCTGAGAGGTTCCATCCAGCAGCTGACTCAGGGATACAAACACCCACAACCAAACAGTGGATGGAACTTGGGGACTCTTATGGAAGAATAGGAGGAACAATTTTATGCAGTAAAGGGGATAGGAACTCCACAGGAAAACCAAAAGAGACAATTAAACTAGACTGCAGGGGCTCTTAGAGTATGAACTACCAACCAAAGAACATACATGGGCTGGACCTAGGCCTAGTGCACACGTGTAGCAGATATGCTGTTTGGTCTTCATGTGAGTCCCAAAGACCTGGAGCAGGGACTATTCCAAAAGCTATTGCCTGCAGATGGGATATGTTCCTCTAGCCTCATCTTGCTTCAATGGGAAAGGAAGTGCCTAGCCTTGTAGAGACTTGAAATGCCAGGGTGGGGGGTTACCCAGTGAGGCCCACCGGCTTAAGAGAAGAAGGGAGTATGGGGAAAGGATTGTGAAAGTGGGTGAATGAGACTTGGATAGTGAGTAGGATGTAAAGTGAATAATTTTAAAAATAAATTTAAATTAAAAAATGTGAAATAAGCCGGGCAGTGGTGGTGCACACCTTTAATCCCAGCACTTGGGAGGCAGAGACAGGCGGATTTCTGAGTTCGAGGCCAGCCTGGTCTACAGAGTGAGTTCCAGGACAGCCAGGACTACACAGAGAAACCCTGTCTCGAAAAACAAAAACAAAATGTGAAATAAAGAAAGAAACAATGTGTCATGGCTATTCCTGGTTGACTATATCTGGAGTGAACTACAATCTAGAATTGGAAGGCCCATTTTTGATCCTGATCTTAAGTCTGGGAGATACAAGTTTCTGACCTGGACTTTGGCATGGAGATCTTGAGGCACAGTGGCTATGAATCCTGGAAGACTAAGGCAAGGAAATCTCTGAGTTCAAGGTCATCTGTGTCAAAGCAAGTTCCAGACCCAGGCGTGGTGGTACACACCTTTAATCAGGGGCCACACCTTCTGATAGTGCCACTTCCTAGGCCAAGCTTATACAAACCATCACATTCCACTCCCTGGCCCCTATAGGCTTGTTAAAACATGTGAGTCTATGGTTGCCATACCTAAAAATAGAATGATGCAAAATACATTTAGTCCAACTTCAAAAGTCCCCCTAGTCTATAGCAGTCTCAACAATGTTAATAATCCAAAGTTCAATGTCTCTTCTGAGATTTATCCAATCAGTTAACTGTAATCCCCAAAGCAAGACAGGAAACCAGCTGGGCAAATTCCAAACTCTGGATCTCCTTTTGTGTTGTCAAAGCAGTCTTAAGATCTCCAACTCCTTTTTCATCTTTGTGGACTACAACATACTTCTTTCTTCTGGTCTGGTTCTACCCCATGGTTCTATCATGTTGAACATCTTGGGGTCTCCAAGGCAACTTCAAGGTTACAGCTTCTTGTTTCAATGTCTGGTACTAGGGACTGGAGTATTTCTGTGATAGGCCTGACCATGTATTTAGAAGAATGTGGGTTTGGGGACTTTGGATTTGGAAAGCAGTGGAATCCTTTAAATGGGGCTTAATGGGCTATACTAGAACCTGTGACTCAAATGGTTTTAAGAGACTTAAGAATCGCAGACTAATTGCAGCCGTCAGCCTTCTACAGTGATGGAGGCTGCAGTCATCTGCTGGTTTGAGTGTCCTGCCATCTGGTCCAAATGTGGTAATTTATGAACCCTCAAAAGAATGCAGCCCATCTTCAGCCAGTATCCAGGAATGACAGTAACCCAAGGTGGCCAACAGAACATTCCTTTTCTCTCCAGATTAAAACTATTAACAATTTGAGTGAGGTACAGAAGTAAAATAAAAAACAAATGTTGACATTTGGAGGTGAGATGAGCATGGGAGCATGGTTATTTAGGCTTGTAAGGTGAAGGCAATGGGACCTGGTGTTCAGTGTCAGCTGGGGCAGAATAAGGAGGTGAGGAGGCAAATGTTCACCACATGAAATCCTGCCTTAATGAGAATGAGATCAAAGAGCAAGATGGCAACTTCTGGAGGAAGACTACTAGAGAATCTTGGTCTTTAAGAGTTCATCTGAGCCGGGCCGTGGTGTCACATGCCTTTAATCCCAGCACTTGGGAGTCAGAGGCAGGCGGATTTCTGAGTTTGAGAGTTTGAGGCTAGCCTGGTCTACAGAGTGAGTTCCAGGACAGCCAGGGCTACACAGAGAAACCCTGTGTAGAAAAACCAAACCAAAAAAAAAAAAAAAGCTCATCTGAGAGAGGCCTTCTAGGTGTGCAGAACTGTTTGGGGAGCATGTAGCAATGACTGAAGGATTCTTCCTGTTTCTTCCCAGAAGCATGGAAAGAGGGTCCAATCTCTATTATAGAATAAAAAATGCTGAGCATTAAAAGACAAGTTTGTGGGTATCACTCTAAGGAAGTACCAATTTGCAGTTTTGTTTGGTTGTTTTTGTTTGTTTGGTTGTTTTTTTTGTTTGTTTGTTTTTTTGGTTTTTAGTTTTTTTTTGAAAGATAGGGACCATGCTTATAGCCCTGCCTATCTAGCAATTCTTATCTACTCAAGAACAGCCTTGAATACCTGGAGATCTACCTACTGTACCTGCTGCATGCTAAGATTAAATGTGTGTTCTGCCACACCTGGAAGAAAGGTTATGCCTAATAAGCTAGAATCCCTGGATAATGCCCTTAGCACTGCAAAACAGTGATCTAAGGAAAGGATAGAAAGATCCTGCCAGGCAGTGGTGTCACACACCTTTAATCCCAGCACTTGGGAGGCAGAGGCAGGCAGATTTCTGAGTTCGAGAGTTAGAGGCTAGCCTGGTCTACAGAGTGAGTTCCAGGACAGCCAGGGCTACACAGAGAAACCCTGACTGGAAAAACCAAAACAAAAAAAGAAAGAAAGAAAGAAAGAAAGAAAGAAAGAACAAAAGAAAGAGAGAAAGAGAGAAAGAAAGAACGAAAGAGAGAGAGAAAGAGAGAAAGAAAGAAAGAAAGAGAGAGAGAAAGACAGAAAGAAAGAAAGAAAGACAGAAGAAAGAAAGAAAAGAAAGAAAGATCCCATGGAGGAAATGAAGGTGATATCTGGGGTATTGAATAAGAATAGTCTGCTTCCTTTTGGCTCTTCTATATTCTGAGACAACTGTTGGTATGGAAAATGCAGGAGTTGATAGGAAAAAGTGCATGAGAATGTCAAGGCTTAGCTGAGTTTCAAACATTCTCCTGTTTCAGACATTTGAGCAGTCACTACATGCTCCCAGCAAACATCTCACTAAACTATTACCTCCATAGAATTTCAGATCTACACAATGTGATCTCAAAAGACAAAAGAAAACAAAAAGCTCAATGAATATTGGATGCTGGAGAGGAGAGTTTCCAGTGGTTAAGAGTACTGACTAAGCCGGGCAGTGGTGACACACACCTTTAATCCCAGCACTTGGGAGGCAGAGGCAGGCGGATTTCTGAGTTCGAGGCCAGCCTGGTCTATAGAGTGAGTTCCAGGACAGCCAGGGCTATACAGAGAAACCCTGTCTCGAAAAACAAAACAAACAAACAGACAAACAAACAGAAAAAGCACTGACTATTCTTCCAAATGATCCCCATCCACCCATCCACCATATTCATATGGTTGCTCACAACCACTGAAGTTTGCAACTCCAGCCCCAGGGACTACAGATGAAAACACTCAACTTTGTAAAGCAAAATAAAAATTAAATTTTTAACGATAAAGCAATATCACCAGTAAAAGATTATTTTCTATTTTTATTAAAATCTGTTTTAGTTTTATCTTATATACTAGTGTTTATTTGAATGTAAGGGTGTGCTCATGAGTGCAGTTGGCAGCAGAGGCCAGGATGTCAGACCCCCTTGAGATAGAGTTATAGGTTGTTGTGAATTATCCACCTAGGTGTTGGGAACCGAACTTGATTCCTCTGTAAGAGCAACTACTGTCTTTAACTCCTCTCCAGACCCATAGTTTTCTTACTAAAACTGTGATACAATCAAATAGAAAATGGTTGAATGGTGTAGTAATAACAGGTTCATCTGGTTCTCCCAGGTAAGGAAAAGAAGGGCTGGATGTGATAGCTCACACCCATTATATCAGCAGTTTGGAAGCTAAAGGTAAGATAATCACAAGTCCCAGGCCAGTTTCAGCTTCATACAGATTCTGAAGACAACTTGAATACATGACATCTTATGACATGAAACAAAACAAAAATTTACAACTGTCTGTAGCTCCCTTGTTAGGCTTCTTGGCTATCATTTAGGAAGCCTTGGGTCTGATTCACTACAAGAAACAATGTATACACTGGGTGTGGTGGCCCCAGGTTGAAATTCCAGGATTCAGGAGCCAAAGGCATGAGAATCAGAAATTCAAGATCCTCCTTGGCAGCACAGTATGTTTGAGATAAGTTTGGGAACCACCAATCCCAAACTCAAATCAGGGGATCTAGGGGTCCCTAAAAAGAGAGCTGAGTGATTAAGAGTACTACTGTAGTCTTGTAGAATACCCAGATCCAGTACCAACACTCAGATGGAGGTCCATAACCATCTGTAACTCCATTCAATTCTGGGGTTATCTGGCCCTGTGCTGCGCACTCTTCTGGGTCTTTACTCATGTGGTAAACTGACATACATGCAGGCAAACATCTACACACAAGCAGTTAAAATAAATATTAAAAATGAAAAATTAAGTATTTCATAATATTTTACCTTTTAATTATAACAGCATAATGATATAACAGTAATAATAGACATAATAAATGTAATAATTTAACAAAACTGGGATGCTACATAATAAAAGACGTACTGTTCTTCTGTCGAAAGTGATGTTCATCCAAAACTCCCATGTCCCCCTCATTGCTCTATTTTACATACATGGACTCTTTTTTTATTATTATTATTACTTGCTGTGTATTATTTAGTTCTTTGTATAGGGTCGGGGCTTTAGGTTTTCTTCTGGCCATTTTGACATGTCTATTGTTCTTGTTCAGCTCATGCTTCGATAACCATGTTTGTGAGATTTTAAGGGTGTAACTCCTTGCACTCCCAGGAGACACATTCTCACAGTTAACTTCGGGATCCTCTGGCTCTCACAGTCTTTCCACCCTGTCTTCTGCAATGTTTCCTGAGCTTTAAGTAACACAGTGTTGTTTGAATTTATCCACCAAGACTCAACTAAACAACTCTGCATTTTAAATAATTAGACATTTTTTAAATGGCTGTCTAGTACTCACAGCATGCTTTTATGCCTCCTATTATTAGGCTCTGTCAGTGTTGATGTAACATAATTTTATCAAATGTCAAATACTGTATCAAGTGTCCATTGTAATGGATTTGCATCTGAAGTGTCCTTATCCTAGGAGTGGCCACATTTCTTAGTTAGACTTCTGTTTGAGTACATGGTTTTGAAGAGTCTGCCAACTCTCTGTTCTGTTATGTTTTATGGAAGTCAGCACATAGCCACATTGTCATTTATCACAGGACTTTTGGGCTTTCTTTCCTTTATTTTTTAACATAATTTATTCTATTCATTTTTTATTATTGTATGTGTGTGAGAGAGAGACACAGAGAGAGACAAAGAGATATGAATGGTGAGGATCTGTACCATGACAACATCATGCATTTCCTGACTGGATGTGAGCATCCTCTCTGCCTTGAGTCCCAGCTTCCACTATTGTTGCTTGAGTGAGATAAAAGTTTCATTTGGTTGTTTAGGCTGGACTCAATCTTACAGAAATCCTTCTTCAGTGTCCTCAATTCTGAGACATAAGCTTACGCCACCATCCTGCTTAGTTTCCATATATTTTTACATCTATTTACTTATTTATGTATTAGTTATTTCTTTTGGGGACAGTAATGGGAGATAGATATTGAAGTGGAGAACATCCAGGGGAGACATTCTCAACTTCAAGCATGTGGTTTCCTGTAAATGAACTTATTAGTTAGGCTTAATGTCAACACCATTGCCAACTGTGCCCTTTCACTAGCTGCATAGCTTTCTTGTTAAAAAAAAATAGGTTTTTTTGTTTGTTTTGTTTAATTTTGATACAGAGTATCATTGTGATGCCTTGGCTAGGCTAGAATTCCCTATGTAAATTTAGAGACTCTTTTGTTCATACTTCCTAAGTGCTGGGACTAAAGGTGTGGCCACCACACCTTGCTCACCACCCAGTCACAATGTCCTCTTCTTTAGCCAGTGTTCTGGTTGATCCTTTCTCCAACACCCTTACGCTTTAGGGCACCAAGGACAGCTTCTTCCCCAAAGCCCCAGTTCTTTATTTTGGTTTGGATTTACATGAGATTAGAACAAATAATGACCCTGAACTCTGGCTGTCCTCAATCTAGCTGGGTAGCTGAAGCTGATTTTGATTGGACCTCCAACCCCAGCCATGTCAAGCCGCCACAGCTGATGACTGACAGCACCAGACTCAGTCTTGAACTCCAGAACACATTTCTAGTTCTGCAAATAATAACATTAGGGTTAGGTTTGTTTGTTTGTTTTTCTAAAAGTTTCTCCACTTATCAGGCACAAACTCTGACCTAATTCACGCTCAGAACCATGTCAGTCATGTACAAATATAATTCATCTAGCTGTCCTGGTTCAAAACAGTAGTCCTCTCAGAAGAAAGGATGAGGCAAGAGAATTGCTTAGAGTCCAAATCAAGATTAGCTACCGAGTAAGACACTATCACAGTAGTAAATAAGCCAAGTATATAAATAAGCAAAAAATTGAATGAATTAACCAAATAAATCAGTTCAATGTTGTGGCATGAATTCAACCACGGACTCCTGATGAATATCCCAGAGTTAGGATTTTGTTTCTTTTTCCTTTTTTCCAAGGAGCTTTGGTTTAGTGATTATTGAGAAAAAAATTCCATATAAGTTTAAATGGCTGGGGCAAAAATCATCCAATCAGATGTCAGCATTTGTTAGTGGTAGAGCTGATAAGGGGCAAGAGGAAAAAGGTCTGCAAAGGTGTCATCATAGCAAGAGAAAGCACTCAGACCACTGGAATTCGTCCCCTGTGTCCCAACACGTAACTAAGTCCTAGGCTAGAACATCCTAACTTGTTCAGAGACACTTTAGATATAAGTCTATAAAGGGCATCCTGTACTCTGTTTCTTCACATGGACATTAGTCTCAGTTCAAAATTCAGGGCTCTTTTCACCTCCAACAGCTTCTGTGCTTCTGTGGTTGAATTTTAAGTGTTGAGACAGAGCCTGCCAGGGCCGAACAGGCTCTCTTTCGTGTCCAGGTAGCTGCACTGGGTTGAGAATCAAGGTCCTCTTGTCTGAGCACCCTGATTGCCTTTTGTTTGGTTGGTTTTTGAGACATGGCCTTGTCAGACAATGAACCTTGGAATTTCAGGCAAATCTTCTGCATCAGCCTCCCAATACCTAGGATTCCAGTTGAGAGAGAGTCAAGTGTCTTGAATTATGATTTGCTTGGTGCACATTAAAAACTTGTTCTTTGCTTTTTGAAATACTTGTTAGCCTCAAGTGTATAGGTATTTACTGGCTTCATCCTCATGAGTCTAAAGATTAATTTTCTAACTATTTTATAGCTCTTCTTCCTGTTTGTAGACAGGGTAGCAATAGAGAATGCAGTGTCTAGAAAGCATATGTGACACAAGATGACTTTGAACATTCACCCTGTCTCTGATTCCTGATTATTATGATCATGGAGTAAAATGCGTTCATTTTAAAATTTTTATTTGGGATGGAATCTCATTTGGTCATAAACTTTCTTTTTTTTTTTCTTTCTTTCTTTTTTTTTTGGTTTTTCGAGACACGGTTTCTCTGTGTAGCCCTGGCTGTCCTGGAACTCACTCTGTAGTAGAGCAGGCTGGCCTCAAACTCAGAAATTCACCTGCCTCTGCCTCCGAAGTACTGGGATTAAAGGCATGTGCCACCACCGCTTGGCGGTCATAAACTTTCTAACTTAGGCTGACTTTGACTGTTAATCTTCCTTTTTGTACCACAAAAGAAATGGATTGTAGAACATGGGCCTGTTTCTTCATATCTACTTATTAAAGTTTTATTTTGTAGTTGTGCTGGCCTTCATGTCAGTATGTGTCCCAGGTTGACTTGAATATATGATAGTCTCAATTACAACTCCTCAGTGTTGGATTCTAGGTATTTTCCAGGTTAATATAGTGAAGGGGATGAAAGCCTGGAGCTCTTTCATTCCACGCAAGTGCTCTAAGCAATCGATGTATGTTGAAACCCAGGATTTAATAATAAGGATTGGAGAGATGGCTCAGCATACTGGCTGTTCTTCCAGGAGTCCTGGTTTCCTTTGCCAATAGCGATGTCTGATTTCACATACAACTGCACTGCATCTACAGCCCTCTGCTGACCTCCTGGACACTGCATACAAATAGTGCTCATACATGCATGCAATCCTGATACCCATACACACATAATAAATAGCATTTTTAAAATCTGAAATAAGTATTCTTCAAAAGGCAAGTTAGAATTATTTTTGTTTGTTAGTTTTGGTTTAGTTAGGTTTTAATGAGGAATGACTGTTAGACTAGAGTTTAAGTTTTAGTTTTGTTCAGTAGTTTGAGAGATTTTTGAGACAGGATTGTATAGAGCCTGTGCTGGTCTTGTACTTCTGGCTTTCTAGCTTTGTCCCCATTTCTTATGTTGGGATTTCAGTTATGCCTTCATTGTAATATGGCTTGCTTGTGATCCCATGAACTATACTAAATGGGTTGAAGTTTTGTGGTTTAACTGAAATGATTTAGTTTTTTGAGACAGTTTCTCTTTATAGCCATTAGTGTCCTGGCACTTACTCTGTAGACTGGGCTGGCTTCAAACTTCAATCCACCTACCTGTCCTTCTCAAGGGCCAAGATTAAAGGTGTGTGCCACCACTGCCCAGCAACTTGAAATTTTTTTTTAACAGTATCTTCAAAACAGGCCTAGGGACAGTTTTGTTTGGAGGTTCCACACAGTGATTCTGGGCACTTTGGCTGTAGGAATGTAGTTGCTTTAGCCTGGTCAGTTGACAAGTACAGACTGGAGAGATGGCTCCACTGGTTCAAGAACGCTGACTACTCTTCCAGAGGTCCTCAGTTCAATTCCCAGCAACCACATGGTGGCTCTCAACCATCTGTAGTGGGATCTGATGGCTTCTTCTGGTGAGTCTGAAAACGATACAGTGTAATGATAATAAATAAATGTTAAAAAAAAACCTTTTAAACTAGACTGACCTGAAACTAAAGACAAGATAGACTACATGAAATCCTGCATTGGCTCTAGCGTTGAAATTATTAGCTCGTGCTGACAAGCTTGACATCCATTCAGCAACTGAAAGGCAAATGTTTGAATAAAGACAACAGGATGGGCAATAAGGTGGCATCATATTGAGTAGTGTTCAATTCTAGGATCTTAGAATGAACTTGAGTCAAGCCTGGACTACATAGACAGCTTTTGGCTGTGTAGTGAAATCCTGTCTCAATAGAAACAAATAAGCTGCTAACACATAAACACACACCCAGTATGTTCTGTGCTCCAAAGTAGTATGAGATAGATAGGCTCCCCATAACTGGCTCTAAAACTTTGAAAATAAAAACTTAACTGGATGTGGTAGTGAACTCCTTTACTCTCAGCAGAAAAGGAGGCAGAGGAAGGTAGGTTTCTGAGTTCTAGGGCAGAATGGTCTACAAAGTTCCAGGGCAGCCGGGGCTGTTACCCAGAGATAGTCTTGATACCTGAAGTGAAAGAAAGAAAGAGAGAGAGAGAGAGAGAGAGAGAGAGAGAGAGAGAGAGAGAGAGA